TTCATAATCACTATTGATTCAAGCCGCCGAAGATGGCGTTATCAACGAACGCTCACCAGCCTAGTCCACTCCCTGGGGTCGACAATATATGGGCTCCAAGATTCTCTCATTATTATGCATGAGCTTACGTGCGTGCGAGCGTGCGAGCGCGCGAGCGCCTGCCCATACATACTCAATGCTCAGCAGAGTTACGAGTAAGAACTGTACATCTCTCTGGCAGAACGCCTAACTCTGTGCATATAACGCACGCGGTTACGAACTTTAGCAGAACGCCTAACTCTATGACAGGAATTCATTATCAGTATCACCTCAAGTACCCAAAGTTTGAGGAGTAGGAAAGGACCAAGGGTTCAAATTGTCTTTTAGCTGTGAAGAACAGTTATGAAGGTTTATGAAAAGATTTTTCTTCCTTACCCATCTGACCTTTGAGCCCGTGTTTAGAAATAAATGAACGCTATTATATCAGGCTCGATCCTACTCTCTATAATAGTTTATTATTATTATCTGTTAAAATAATCATAATGATGATTAGGAAGAGAAAATACGAAATGTTTAAATTAAGGTTTTAGAAGGTAATTAGAGTTTATAGATTACTCTCGTTTATTCTTATTGAATAATAAATAATATTGCTAAAGAAAGCAGGCTCCGAAACTCTATGACGCGCACGAATCCTCTGCGAAGTATTAAAATAATCATAGAAATGATGAAAAGAGGAAAATGAGGTGACGATTTGTTGAAACTGATGTTATATAAATTATGCAGTGTTCTGAGATAAAATTTAGCACAAAATACCCCTAAAATACTTGGAATCGCCAGGCTTAAAACCTGTATTGACAATGTACGTACAGCTAAAGCGGGCTCCGAAACTCTATGACGGGCTCCAATCCTCTGCGAAGTATCAAAATAATCATAGAGATAATGAAAAAAGGAATAGAAAGTGACGATCTGGTGTAATTTATGTTATATAAATGTGTTGTAGTTAATGAAATATAAATTACGAGTGTTGTGAGATAAATAGAGTACAAAATAATATACCCCTAAAATCCCATACTTGGAATCGCCAGGCTTAAAACCTGTATTGACAATGTACGTACAGCTAAAGCGGGCTCCGAAAATCTATGGCGGGCTCCAATCCTCTGCGAGGTATTAAAATAATCATAGAAATTGATGAAAAGAGGAAAATGAGGTGACGATTGGTTGAAACTGATGTTATATAAATTATGCAGTGTTCTGAGATAAAATGTAGTACAAATATACCCCTAAAATACTTGGAATCGCCAGGCTTAAAACCTGTAATGTACGTACAGCTACTTTTTGTTGCTGTACACATCACTGACCTCTACAGAGATTAGTGGTACACATGTTATGATCCGTGCGTGCGAAAGGAGCTACTGTAGATCGGACGTGGTATGACGTGCCCACATTACATGCACACATTATTACACGCGCGCGCTTCTATTACATGCTCCTTCTTGCTCGGGCGCACGTACGATTATTAGTACTTGATCGACAGGGCGCTCCCAACGACAGGTTGTTGATCCCTAACTTCTCAGAAGGGCCGCTAGGCAGAGATAAAAGTGATTAATTCGACATAAATCTTGTTTAAACCTTACCACGTGGGAGAAAGTGAGCATGGGATGACCAAAAAAAAAATGCTATTTACATCACTAAATTTTAGCGAAAAAAAAACAACAGTCAATGATCTACCTTTCTCGTATATGGTCGTATCTTTATCTTATACTATTCTTGATTATATTGCAAAATCAAAATGTATTAATATTATACAGATAAACAGCAACGTAAAGGATTGAGCAAAGGCTGGCAAATACGAAGTAAAAATACAAGACTTGAACTTCATATATATATATATATATATAGGCATAGACTGTATTTTATGTGTGTATATATTTTATAATTTTTTTAACGGCCGGGGCATGTTATGTGTATGTAGACCTATTATTTGTCAGTAGGTCTATTCTTTTGTCTTACATTTCGCTTAAATTCCGGACCGTTGATTTAATACTATCTGGGTTTTATGTCCACTTAAAGGTACTATGTCCCATTTGCAGGCCAAAAAAATGAAAAGGTTAAATTCCAACGGCCTTTGAAAGACAGTAGAAATTTTGAACTTCCCTCAAAACGAAAGGGCGTGAAAATGGCTTTTAGTTGAAAAATAACGACCATTCGATGTCGAATCTACTTAAGTGATTGCAATCACCTAAGCAATAATCTGATTTTCAGAGCCTTTTACCGAATGGTCGTACGTTTTGTGCTGCACAAAGATTCAATCAATTTAATTTTGGTCATTACAAGTAGTGGGTTATTGATGTGGACAAATACTCATGTACCTGTTACAGCTCACTTTATGTATGTTATTACATGTACCAAAGAAAAAAGCTGTCAGTCAGTCACTCAATAGTGTCTGACGGTGAAGACTAGAAGGTAAACTAGGACACTGCCCATTTTTAAATTTCACAGTTAGGACATACATGACATATTCATAATTCCTGCAAAGTTCTAAAGAATTAGATTTTGGCTGCAAAAGGGACATAATTTATTTAAAGACCATACATAATTTATGTTTAGCAATTTATCAACACCATTCGGAATGCAAATTATATCATCTACCCTGTTGGTCATAAAAGTTGAATAATTTTGATTTAGCCCGATTTATGGAATGATTTTGCGATGATTCATTCCTAATAGATTTAGCGAATAATATACATTCTCAGATTTTATTGAATAATAATTTGCACGTGCCCCCCCCCCCCTAAAATTTCCAAGATCGGTTGAACTTTTTTAGACCCCTTTTTTTTACCTCGATTGATTACATGTATGTGCCCCCCCCCCCCCCAAACATCGAACTCTGGCTACGTGCCTGCCATGTGCTATCTGTAAACTCCCTTATTATTAGGAAAAGAAGACGATTTATTGTACCGTTCTCGACTGTTAACCCTTGTCTGAATGAATCCCCCCCCCCCTTCTCTCGCGCGAAGCGCGAAAGCTTTGGCGTTTCATCAAATTATTATAAAAAGAAGACGATTTGCTGTACCGTTCTCGACTGTTAATCCTTGTCTGAATTCAGTTCCCCCCCCCCCGCCCCCCCCCCCCCTCCCGCGCGGAATTTTTGGCGTTTCATTAAATTATTAGAGAAAGTAGACAATTCGTTGAACCGTGCTCGACTCTTAATCCTTGTATGAATTCAGATTCTCCCTCTCTCTCCCGCGCGAAGCGCGGAAGTTTGACATTTCATTAAATTATTAGAGAAAGTAGACGATTTGTTAAACCGTGCTCGACTCTTAATCTTTGTCTGAATTCGGTTTACCCCTCCCGCGCAAAGCGCGGAAGTTTTGACGTTATTATTAGAGAAAGCAGACGATTCGTTGTACCGTTTTCAACTCTTAATAAGCCCTATTTATCTGAATTCAGTTTCCCCCTCTCGCGCGAAGCGCGGACGCCTTGATGTTTCCTTAAATTATTATAGAAAGCAGACGATTGGGTGTACTGTTCTCGACTCTTAATTCTCGTCTGAATTCAGTTTCCCCTTCCCGCGCGAAAAGCTTAGACGGTTCATTTAATTATTATAGAAAGAAGACGATTCGTTGCACTGTTTTTTACTCTTATATTAAGCCCTATTTATCTGAATTCAATTCAATTCATTCAATATAAACAACAAATTAATTAATTCATAGACCTACACAAACATCACATGCATTGTACTGTAGCCCTTAAATATCATCCCCTCGTCCCTTAAGTTTTAGGTGTGAACAAATGACAACCACCGAGTAGGACTTGGGCAATGCAACAGTTACCGTATTATTTATCACTCTCAATCAGATGCGTTTACAGTTTTCACACCTCTTAAAAAATGTTTCTGGAATTCATAGGCCCATATTCTGAAGTCAGGTTTAGTTAAACCCAGGTTTAACTTTAAACCCGGGTTTAACTAAGCCAGACTTCAGGTCTAAGTATCTTTTCAGTTTCTGAAAGCCAGGTTTAGTTAAACCCAGGTTTAAGTCTAAAACTCAGTGTTGCATACGATGTGGGGTATTATGACGTCAGAAGCGAAGTTTTGGTTATTTTGGGTTTAGCCATAGAGGGCAGTTGCGAATTTGTTAGGGAAACTAAAACACGTTGTTGCAGTTAGTTATCGGCACTGAAAGTGCACCATTTTTTGGTATTTTGACACAAGCCCAATGTTGTGAGTATTTATTTACCTCTGTTTATTGAAATATGATGACTATTGTTGTGTTTGATGCTATTGGTGATAAAAATGAAGAAATGCAAATAGTGTAAAATTAAGTAAGAAAATTGTTACTCACGTACGTAAATTCACGTTGTGTGTGGGCATGCAGTTGTGTATAAAGTCATTGGGTTAGAATTAATTTCGGTAAACGTAAAGAAGACAGATATGAATATGACAGAAAAGTTGTATTATTATTAGTTTCAGTGGATTATGTTAGAAATGTATGTACAGTATAAGCTGTCCAATATTCAGTTGGTTTTTTGGATTAGTATGAAAGACAGAATGTTCTATAAAGAGTAGTTGACAGAAAGTAGGTCAGGTATGCCAGGGGTCATTATAGATTGGTAGTCTTTCGTGCAGCCTGTTATTAAGATATAGGTTACCACTAAATGATATGTTGGGCCTATTATGCTTTGGTAATTAATAGTGAGTCAATAGGTTGTATCAAAGTAGCTATGAACTCATCTTAGCAGAAATATGTAAAGATATTTCCTAACTCATATTATGCCATTATACTACGTAATACCAATTTCGGGATTACGTTAAATGAGACCCCGTTAGTGCGCATGCGCTAATCAGCAATTCGTTAGTCGCGTGTTATTTGAGCGAAAGGACCCCTTTCTGGCTCAAGAAATCAGATTTATTATCCACGCAATCCCCGAAATTCAAAGGTAAAAAACGTTATTAGTTTCACCCTTGACATTTACTGATAACTTTGAGACGCTTATTTTTTATAAATCACGCCCTTCTGAAGTGATATTTTATCGATAGAATTGTAATGTCTCAAATGGATAGCAGCACTGCTGCGTTTCCTCCGTCCGCGCTTTCACCCCAGGCACCGCCTGGTAGCGCAGGAGCCACGGGCTCCGACGGAAAGAAAAAATTACCCAACTCCAGTGGCAAAGTCACGGCTGGCAAAGTCAGCAAGAGTGGGCCGGGGAAAGCTAAAAGTAAAACAAAGTCGGACTCGGAGCCAAAGGCAATGAGCGAGAAAAATCAGGAAGTGGAATCAACGGTTCCATTTTCTACTTTTAATAACAGACTTGATAAAATGGAAGCGCTTCTTGCGCGAGTGGTTGAGGCATTGCCCGCTACTAATGCTACGGCTGTCACCGGCAGCTCACACCCGTCTTCGTCTCGCGGCCCCACCGGGGCTACCGGCGGGGAAGACTATGTGCAACGGCCTCCGTTCGACCACGGGAATGACATACCGCCCACCGGGCTCATGGATTTTTACGGTCTACCCGCGGATGCAACCGAAACGGGCGCCGTCTCGGAGGAAGAGAATTTTGACTCAGACATGCCTCAACCTGATAACTTTGTCATTCCCTCGATCGCCGCAAAATTCGCAATGGCGTCGGATATCGGAGATCCTATTGAGGAGGAGATAGCCCAATCTACTTCATATCTCATGACACACCAATTGGAGGGGAAAGTTCTTGATGAAGTTACTGCAAAATACCCAGCTCCAAGCAATTGTCAGATTATAGAGGCACCAAAGATGAACCCTGTGATATGGGACAATCTACCTCCGATGACAAAAAGCCGTGACTTGAAGTTACAGCGAGTTCAGAAATCACTCACTCATGGCATCAATGCATTTGCCCGCTCCGTTTCTACGGGCGGTATAACTGATACACAGCAAGATGCTTTGGCGTTGATTTGTAACGCTAACTTTGAACTGAACTGCCTGCGAAAAGAGCTCATAAAACCTGATTTGAATGCAAGGTTTACGCATCTGTGCAAACCTACTCTGCCAGCTACTAGACTTTTGTTTGGTGATGATCTTGGAAAGCAGGTGAAGGATCTCAAAGATCAGCAACTGGCAGCGGCCGGTGTAATGAGGGACAAATTCAAAAACCGCTTTGCTTCGCATCCCTATCGGGGACGTGGCTACAATGCACCGGGGCACCGCTGGGGCTCACAGAGCCAATCCCGCGGGTATAGCAGGCCAATGTCAGGATCGCAGGGTGGCCCTTTTTTAGGGTACAGACAGAACAGGAGGGGCAGACAGCCTCCGTACACTCAGTCTCAGGCTCCGAACCAGCCTCAAATGCAAGTGCCAGGTGCCCAGAGGGGTCCCATGGGCCAGCAGAGGAGGAAGTAGAACTCCCAAGACCAAGTCACGACAAGGTTAGTGATTCACACTTTGATCTCATTTTTAGCGAAAATGATATGACTAATGCTAGTACTAGTACTAGTAGTGTTCCCCCAGTGGGCGGTCGACTGAGGTATTTTAGGAAAATTTGGCAAGAGCTAACAACAGACCCTATTGTTATTAGGGCTGTCACGGGATACAAGATCGAGTTTGATGTAGAAAAAATTAGAGACTTGCCTGAATTAAAGGCTAAACGCTATAAACGGAGTGTCCAGGATGCTAAGCGCATTCAAGAAGAAATTACTAGCCTCCATCGTAAAAATGTTATTGAGCCCTGTGTACACGAAGAGGGTGAATTCATTTCTAATATTTTTACTACGCCTAAAAGAACTGGAGGTGTACGTCTAATCCTCGATCTTTCAGAATTGAATAAATGCATGATGTATAAGCATTTTAAGATGGATAATATCCACACTGTGCTGGACCTTGTATCCCCTGACAATTTTCTAGCCTCTGTCGACCTCAGAGATGCATATTATACAGTACCGATCCACCAAGAGGATAGGAAATACCTCAAATTCATTGTCAATGGTCAATGTTGGCAATTCAAAGCACTGCCCAATGGTCTCAGTACAGCACCAAGGCTATTCACAAAATTACTAAAGCCAGTTTTTTCTAAGCTCAGACAAGCTGGTCACATTGTGGTAGGATATTTGGATGACACAATCCTCATTGCAGAAAATGAGGAAAAGCTCAAAGCAGCTGTTAAGGCTACCACTGACATCCTTGCACAACTCGGGTTCATTATTCACCCTGAAAAATCAGTACTTACCCCCACCAAAGAGATAACGTTCCTTGGCTTTGTTCTGAATACAAATACTATGCAAATTAGACTTCCAGAAAGCAAGGCGCTTGAAGTAGAACGCCTCTGTCAAGAGCTTATTGACACTAAGGAGCCCTCAATAAGGCATGTTGCCAGGGTTATTGGGAAGATCGTTTCATCTTTCCCAGCAGTCCAATATGGCCCTCTCTTCTATCGTACTTTAGAGAGAGACAAAATTGCAGCACTAAAAGCAAACAGAGGTCATTTCGATAGGAAAATGACACTTTCAAATGAAGCCAAGGGTGAGCTTCAATGGTGGGTCGAGCATGTAACGTCTTCATTTGCACCAATAAGAAGACCGAAACCAGACCTTGAGTTGCGCACGGACGCCAGTGGGGCTGGCTGGGGTGCTACTAACCTCCAATCATGCACAGGTGGTAGATGGAATGAAAAAGAATTGCACAAAGCTAGGCATTATGGCATTAACTACCTTGAAACAGTTGCTGCGGGGTTTGGCGTTCAATCCTTCTGTGCTGATATGGAAAATGTGCATGTACTACTCCGTGTTGATAATGTAACCGCAGTATCATACATTAACAATATGGGGGGCTGCAAGTCTGCAGATTGCAATGAGGCAGCCAAACACATTTGGGAATGGTGCATGAGTAGGAACATATGGCTATCAGCTGCCCATTTACCAGGGAAACTAAACACAGAGGCAGACCACATGTCTAGACACTTTAACCACAAGACAGAGTGGATGCTAAATACAGATGCATTCAAAGAAATTGCTCAGCAATTTGGTCCACCAGAAATAGACCTATTTGCATCAAGATTAAACAAGCAAGTTGACAGATACATCTCATGGCTGCCTGACCCTGGAGCTGAAACAGTTGATGCTTTCACAATCGACTGGAAACCATTAAGTTTCTACGCTTTCCCACCCTTCTGCCTCATCGCAAAATGCTTACAAAAGATTAAATGCGATGATGCAACAGGCCTACTAGTAATTCCAAACTGGCCTACCCAACCATGGTTCCCTCTTTTGAAGAGTATGATTATTGGGGAGCCAATGTTCATAGCTAGAAGGCCAAACTTACTAGCACAGCCTATTACAAATGAGCCACACCCGCTTAATAATCAGCTTGATTTGCTTTGTTGCAGGTGCTGCGCCAGCCACTAGAAAGTAAAGGTTTGAGTGCAAGAGCTATCAATGTAATAGCAGCATCGTGGCGAGCATCAACGACAAAGAACTATATGCCGTTTACATAAGGAAATGGAAGACATACTGCCATAAAAAAGGCTTGAACTATCTCCAGGCGAGATCCAATGATGTAATTGATTTTTTGTCAGAACTCTTTGAAAGTGAAAGAGCTAGTTATAGTGTTATAAATTCTGCACGCAGCGCCTTGTCTGCATTTCTAGTACTTGAGGATTCGTCATGTACAGTTGGAACTCATCCTCTTATTAGTCGTTTTTGTAAAGGAGCTTTTCAATTGCGCCCTCCAGCGCCAAGATATAAGGAGATTTGGGATGTGAACATAGTGTTTAATTATCTACGAAAGTGGGCACCAGCGAATTCGCTCACGCTAAAAACTCTGACTATGAAACTTTGCACACTTATGGCGCTGATATCGGCCCAGCGGGTCCAGTCACTGCACAGCTTGCATCTTGACTACATGAAAATCAAGGGCAGCGAAGTTCTGTTCATTTTTAAGGACCTCCTAAAGCAAACAAAACCGGGGAATGTGAACTTCAACTTGAAAATGAAGGCATATCCACCAGACAGGAGGTTATGTGTACTTAACTACTTGCGGCACTACTTGCGCAGAACGGAGAGCGTCAGGGGACAGGAACGCTATCTGTTCATCAGCTTCAAGAAACCGCACAAACGCGTTACTACGCAGACCATCGCCAGATGGGTGAAGGAAACGTTGACCTCAGCAGGGATCGACACAGACATCTACAAAGCTCATTCTACTAGAGCTGCATCAACTTCAGCAGCAAACAGTTCAAATCTGCCTATCAAGCATATACTAGCCCAGGCGGGCTGGTCTTCTGAACGGACGTTTCGAAACTATTACATGAAACCAGTAGAGAACAGGAACGTCAATTTCACAGGTGCAATCATGGCGTCCTAAAGGATGTCCTAGAATTGGCATCGCCTTTTTAAGGTCAGCTGGTTTACCTTCTTAGCAGCATGCTTTAGCTTACTATTCTATCAATAATGTATACTTTTGTGCTGAGCACTGGATCGGATGGCCTACTGAGCTTTGAAATCTCATTTAACGTAATCCCGAAATTGGTATTACGTAGTATAATTGAAAGATTAAACGAGAACTCGTTTGAGATTTAATCTCAATTATATAAGTAATATAAAATGAGGGTTTACGTCCCTCCCTTACCCTCCCTAGTGCTGGGTATTGTTATTAATTACAGTTCTCGTTATCTTTCTGCTTGGTTCAGTAGGCACATCCTCGGCTATCTACGAATATTGCTGATTAGCGCATGCGCACTAACGGGGTCTCATTTAACGTAAACCCTCATTTTATATTACTTATATAATTGAGATTAAATCTCAAACGAGTTCTCGTTTAATCTTTCAATTTATTTACAGTTATTTACAAACCTGTTTATTATTTGACTGGATAAGATAAACAAATGTTGGATAGATTATTTGATTGTCATATCAGCTATGCTAAGTAGCATATTGGATGCATTATTCTAGTAATGCTTATGATTGTGTTTTTTATCTTTTATTAAAGGTTGAACCTTGCACCTGCCAGTTTGGAGTCTTGGTATCACAAAAGGGTGTCGCTGTGTTATTCATTCGTCAATGGTGTCTTTTGGTTAAGTGAATTAATCGTCAATCGTCAATCACACTCAGGTTTAAAGTTAAGCCAAGGTTTAACTACCATGGAGATGTAGTCTGCTTCTACTGCACATGCTCAGTACAGCTCACCCATCTTCCAGGGTAGCTGATAAAGGTATTTTTATAGCTGGATTTCGTGCTGCAAATTTAATAATTTCAATTTAAAATATTCGACACAAACAAATCTCTTTCGAAGCAACTGTTGAACGTTATGGCGTGATTTTTTGTTTTGTTTTACGGCCTTTGATCTATTGTAAAACTGCTGAAAAAGTCTGAATCAAGCCAGGTGGAATTGATCTTTACGAATAAATAAATAATAATAAAAAAATCGGTAGAACTAATTCTACAAATCTCTGCATGCCCAGATTAGTAAAAACTTCCAGAACCGTCATAAAATGCTCTAAATAAGATTTAGATGACTAAAAGAAAAACTAAAAATGATAAAAAAAAATACCTTCTTGATGCAGAATAACTAGTCCAAAGTCAACATTGGCGTTTTTTTTAAGGACAAATGCAATCCTTTTTCGAACCGACGTGTCGGGTAACGCGACCCCCTTCTCGGTCACCTGCACCGTGCGCGCATATCATGCATTCGATCGTGCGCGCATTCATTCGTACGTACACACGGTTTAGAAAATGTATTGCATTGTCCTAAACAAAAACGCTTAACGCTTAAAATTCGACCATAATTATGAGCTTCAATGTTGACTTTGGATTAGTTATTCTGCATCAATAAGGTATTTGTGATCATTTCTCTTTTAGTCATTTTAATCTTATTTAGGTCTAGATCTAGACCTCTAGATCTAGACCTCTAGTCTAGTGCAACTTTAGGATGTTCTGGATGTTTTGACATCATAATAGGCCTAGATGTCTAGATCTAGACTAGGCAGTAGGCGCGCCTAATCATACTGATCATATAGGCCTAGGGTCTAGACTAGACTAGGGCAGAAATTGTAGAATTAGATCTAAGTTAGATGCTACCCAAAACTCTAGTACTAGGTCTAGAATTAACAGCCAACGAGCGTATTAATAATACGCTCGTTGGCTGTTAATTAGACTAATCCATGATTGTCTTATAAATATAGATTTAGCTCTAGACCCTAGAAGTCTACACTAGGATTTTCTCTGAACTCTAATCCAACCTTACAATTTTATTTGAACTCGCCTTTGTTTACATCCATGTAACATCCATGCGAGAACAACTTAATCTCCCAACACTTGAAGAAAGAAGAAAATGGGCACGTTTGTCAATGTTCTACAAGATAGCAAATAACAAAATTGCGATACCAATACCGGAGTACATCAAACCGAGGCAGCGCACTACAAGGAGGAGTCAACAACAACGATATATGAGACTAGGCTCTTCAATGGACTCTTACAAATTTAGTTATTTCCCCAGGACACTTAAAGACCTTGACCGGAGCAGAGCATTATATAGACAAATTATATACCTACGGACTCGTGAATATTTACTGAATATGAAAATGCAAACTTCTCGAGATTCCACGGCCTCTGAAAGAAGTATTTAGCATCCGAACCCCAGGATTCACGGATTTGAGAGGGGCACCCCGGAGATTAGTTTCGGCTGCGCTAGCCAGTGGCCGTTTCTACCCGTTTCTGATGACGTCATATCGTGTAGGTTATTTGGCCACTCGGTATATAGCAGCTGGTTCTTCGCATGGTGGTCGGTATGTGAAGTTTTCTTCTCTCTTTTTTTGTTATTGTAAATATCAATGTCGAAGCTGTATTTGGACATTTTACGATTAGAATGTTGACATTTTATATCTGTATTAATTTCACGCTACGTAATATGGAATATCGACCCCAAATTTCCACTAAATTAGATTGAAACGAATCATTTGCCCGCGCTGCTGGCTGCCTGCCTCGGTCTGCGATTGCACAACTTTCAGCAATCTATCGCTGAGCCTCGCGAGAGCACTCGGCCCGCGGCCGGCCCGGCCTGACTTGCCGCGCCGTGTCATGCTGGTGGTCGTGGAATATTTCTCGAACAAAACTAAGTTTCGCTCGCTTTTATCGCACAGATAGCCTTTCCTTTTGCATGGTTTACCAGCATTAAATCAAAGAATTATTTAGATCTACATTGTTTTATTGTCTAGAATATAGTCTGTAAACAATGAAAAATAAGAAGAAGATGAAATGGAGATTTTGAAGAAGAATTGGGCCTAAAAAAAAAGAAAAAGAAAACTAGGTAGTTGGTAGAATCTAGGCCTTGGACTCGTGCCGCCCAGTGGCAGTGCACTGCAGTACAGTGAAGCCAGGAACTAAATTATTTTGAATTGATGTCAGAAATCACATGGGTGCCTCTTCTTGATACTTTCTCGTGATGAAAACACTGTTTTTATTCAAATCAAAATGGTCTAGATCTAGTGTTGTTGCCAGGGATGATTATTAAAACAAAATCATCGGTCATTTGTTGTTGACTTTGCTTTTTTTTTTTTATCCGACTACAGATTAACTTTGCTTTTTTTTTTTCTATGAAACTAGCCTCAAGTTGTTCTTTTTGTTTGGATGTGGGTAAAATCCTTATTTATATGCATACGGTGTACATTTTTCACCCTCATTTACTTTGAAGATGTTTGTCAAAATGCGAGCAAAATATTTACATTTATTTTAATAATGTACATTGAAGTTCAATTTAGTTCAATTTTGATCATGACATTCATATTTTTTTTTGTGCAATTTTCTAAATGATTAATATTCATTGTGGAATGAAAAAATAGTTTTGGCGAAGGGATGAGATGCTTGGAAATGCCGAGATCATGATTGCTAACTATTTAAATGAACTCTCCTTCACCTTTACCGCATATATTATATTCCCAATCTTATTACAGGTACAAAGGTGTACGACAAGCTTCGAGAGGAATGGCTGAGGACCAGACTGGTGAACGACATTGGGATGATGTCCCCACATGCCCAAACCAGCAAGGTTGAATCATTCCACAACATCCTCCTTCACTTTTGCCCCAAGTTGCTTGTATACTCATATCAAGGGATGAAGTGCAGGTAAATTAGGCAATTAATTCATCAACATTATGCTCCCCTAATATAAATTTAACAAGAACGTCACAGAGGGCAGTGTTGTTTCTTCTTCTTCTTCTTTTGAATTTGATTTTATTGGTTTTATGTTTTAAAGTTATTATTTTCTTTTTGTTTTAGCCAGGTTCTTTCTATTTCATATTTTGTTGGTTTTTTTTTTTTTTTTTTAATTTATTATTTGTAACACATGCTTTTTACACTAACTCTTGCCTTCACTTATTGGAGAGTAGGTAACGAGTTTATGATGATAGACATTACATTACCAAAAAGATAAAATCAACTGTCACAAGTATGTTATTCATGTGACCTTTATTTTTAACTTCACTC